CCGCAAACACGGTGTAAGTTACAGTTGGGGAGGGGCAGCAGGGCGTGTTACCAGGGGGGGGGGTTCCGAGCAGGGCCGGACCCCCCCCTGTCGCCCGACAGAAACGCATCTAAGGGGGTCTAATTTCAAAATTTTTGAATCTCAGCGTTCCCGTGCTCGCAAGTTCCCCTGGTACAAATCCTGTACACGCCCCTGGGCAGGTGAGTTAGTGAAGGAACAGCCGTGAGTTAGTGAGAGAACAAGCGAGTTAGTGAGCGAAAAGGTGAGTTAGTGAACGAACTGGTGAGTTAGTGAGAGAACAGATGAATTAGTGAGAGAACAGGTGAATTAGTGAGCGACAGATGCGCTATTGGGGGAACAGGTGAGTTAGCGAGGTAACCTGCTAACCTAGTTCTAATTGCCTAATTAGGTTTAGCAGCTCTACCCCATCTATCCGGAGCTCGCGGCCACAATTAGCACAAGTGAAGAATCCCAAATGATTGTTGTAGTCATTAGCTTGCTATTCGAGGAGGTTATAGATCATGTTGTGTAGGTGTTCGAAGAGAGGCGATAACCGAGTCAGTTTTTAGACTCAACCTTGACATAGTCAAGTGGCTCATTGCCATGGCGGCGTTGGTCCGTCGCGCTCCGCGTCCGTCCGTCAACATTTGCCTACGGTCAACGATAACTTGAGAACCCGTTGACCCATATAGTTTCAAATTGCATACAGTTGCTTAACTCCTATGGCGATGAGGTGGTGAACGTCTATTTTGGCGGCACCGCCACGTGACCACTTATCGCAGGCACGCCGACTTTTTCCGCAAAAATGGGAAATGGCCATAAGTCAGTCGAACCGTTCAACGGCATTTATGCTCATTTTTGGTATTGTGAATGAATTAAGGGCTGGGTGCCAATACATATTCACAAGGGCGGTTTTGATATTTTGTTTTGAAATTTATGCAGGGAATTTATGGTATATTTTGCAATTTGCACCATTGGCGCCATTTTGCCGCATGTAAACCAGCTCGCACACGGTGCCGCATTTCGGCGCGCGCAGACGGCCGCTGAGCCTAGAAAAAACTCTAACACGCATAGTCCAGGGCTCGAATTAAACCGACGGCGGCCTCGGTGCCCTATCAACTCGGCCGTACTGCCCTGAATAATCCAACCGACCGACGGCTCAGCGACCTTGCCTTGGACCTTTTCTGTAATGCCGTTCGCGTGCCTCGGCTAGACTGGTTCGCGGCCCACCGTACTGTTTGTCGCCAGAGCCGCTGTACATTGTCTAGCAGCAGCGTCGCACGGCCGGATCACCCAGCTCTACCTTCTCGGAAAAAACAAATAACTATTATAACGTACGCTTCCTGCCAACCACTGTGCCAGTAGACGATCCGAATAAATCGTGCGCTGTCGTGATGCCCGCTGGTAAAACACGAATATTTAAATGCTGCCACCGTGGACTCGGGCCCGCGCCGACTTCTAAAAGCGCCGGCCGAAACAAGCTCGCGCCGGAAGAATGCCAGCTGTGATCTGCTACGGAGGGTAGCTTGTGTAGAATTCATACGATGACAGAAAGTTTTCGACATAACACATGCGTCTGCGTCTGGGCTACGTGAAACTGAGGTTCGCGCTCGTGTTTCCTCCAGTTACAGTCACTACTCAGCCCGCATGCTCTAAGTGAAATAAAAAGTTAATGTGAATCCCTGTAATTACTGTACTCCAGGTTAGCCAGAGGGGGTACAGGCCGCGTCGGTGTTAGCCGTGTAAGCATACCATCGGGGCGGGAAGACGACTGTACATGTGGGGAGACGGTCTGTACAGTTACACGGTAAAAAAAGGCTGCCTTCGGTGCACTTTAAAATTGCCTCCCCGGGACTGCCATCCATTTTAGAGAAAATTCAAGGCAATTTCTCACATGCCCCCAAAAATTGCCTTGATGCCTCCCTTGTCGCTCATAATTCGAGTGCCTGCGATAGAAATATTCTTGGGCGCGCATCGGCGCCAGCGCCGTTGCGGCAACGTCTCGGGCATCCGGCCTAGCTGTCTTTGTTAAAACTGTGCGGAAGAAACATCAGTCGATATCACTGCTAATTCCAGTAATCCACCAGCCTAGTACCGGCCTGCATTATGACAGGGCAACCGCTTCATTTGTCTAGCTGGTCCAAGCCAGGAGCTGAATCGGTTGTCGCTAACCTGTTCTAATATCTGAAGTACTTATTGAATTTAAAATGAAATAAAATTACTCTCAAACAACCGCATAAGAATTTTGTTAAACGCGCTGCCAGTTCACACTGGGCCGACTTGTCCAGCGATACGCGGATGGGGCAGATGCTCCCCGCGACCGTAAAATTAGAATCGCGTGGGCGAATCCATGGAAAAAATTACGGCAGACGGTCGAAAAAAAAGCATCATCGCGGATGAAATTCCCTAATCCCCCTGTAATTTATGACAAAATGCTTCTGTCGATCTCTGGAGAGAGAGAGAGAGAGAGAGAGAGAGAGAGAGTCGTCGCGATACCGCGGGCTGTTGTTGTTAGATCTAGAGCTGCATGCATGGTTGACGCCGATCTATTCGACACTAGAGGATTCCCTCCCGGGGGTACCGACTCCACGAGGCCTTGAAAGAGTTAACCGTAACGCGAAATTTCGTAACGTGAGTCTCGTTTTTCCGTTGAATCACATTATATTATCGGTGAAGCGCTACTACCGTTGTTTTCGGTCAAACGAAAACAAGGCAAGCACACGTGCAATTGGAGATGAACACGCTTAAACACACGCGTTTATTATTATTCTTATTGTAACCTAATAAATACGCGAAATGTTGTAATTAAACTAACAAACTAAAATAACAGCAACGACGTTGAGCATTGCTGGGGGGGGGGGGGGGGTATTCAGTGTGCCCACGCTTGGTGGCAGAAAACGCTGCGTAGCATCCGACATGCGGGCAGCAGAGGCCGGGACCGTCTCTACACTACTCTGTGCAATTGAACTAGAACGTTAGCGACGAAATTTCGCTGGATAATATCATAAGTATATTATGCCAGCGAGAGCCTAACACGGGAGAATCTAAACGGTAAATGGTCGTTAACGGAAAATCTCTGTTTGGCCTTTTCTCTAGCTGAACGCGTACAACTACACGGTGCAGGATCTGGCCAGGGTCACAAAGGCCGAAGACGAGGGGAAGGAAGTGCAGTTCTATAGGAGCCAGAGCTTCAAACTAGACGGTGCCAACGCCGATGCCAAAAAGACAGACTGCTGTAAGACCTGACAGCTTCGACTTCATACACACGACTCCCACAACCCACTACATGCACGATTGCGGGCAGTGGCGTAGCCAGGATTTTTCTCTTTCACGACGATTCTCTTTTTAGTAGAACAATTATTTTTTTACTTTCGGATCAACAGGGGGGCCATGACCCCATTTGGCCCCCCTTATCTACGCCACTGATTGCGGGGGCATTGATGACGCGCAGAGTCCACACTTTGTATTCGCCGATTCCGGCATTGCGTCGTACATTGTGATGGAGGGCTCAGATTTCCTCCTAAAGATAACAAGGACTGCCACAGTCTGCTATTACTGCTGTTGCTGCTGCTGGACAAAAGCACGCGTCCGTCTAGAAGACTGTCGCAATTCGGGGACTTCCGGTCCATATACCACTTGTTGTGTTGTTGTGTATATGTATTATGTACCCGGTGCTCGTCCTATTATCTTCACGAAATGTATGAATGTTTGAAGTAATTGATTTTGAAGTCCCGCGTAGTAGTACCGCAGTGAAACGGTATTCGCGAGAGAGAAAAACGAGTTGTGGCTCTGCAATCAGATATTACAGATGAGAAATATAGTTATATATTAATAATTAAATAAGATCACACCCAAGCGTTTTTTTGCAAACCATATTATGATATACATCATTGGTTGCACTAGTTGTACATTATGCACTTTATCATTGTACATTATCACTATTCTTCATTATTATCACAAGTACTACTATGAATACGTATATATTACGAGTGCATCCATGTTTATTGTACTACTGTAAATGGAGATTTCTTATTTATTTTAGGTCACGTGTATAAATATTACTTTGTGTCACTTGTGTGTATTCTCCGTGACCGTTCGATATATGCGGATGGATATGTAGTACAGTGAGGTATTATATAATTATGGATAGATATCTATGTATGTGTGTGTTGAATATGTGTGCGTGAACATGTACGTACTAACGTACAAAAAAACGTAGTCGTGATCACCACGACCTATTTATATACAAAAACACAAAATTTGTTGGTTTCATTAATCAATAACAAACTGAATATTAAGTTATCGATATCAATAAAGCACATCTGTGATCACATTAGCAGTAAGAGCAAGACTGTAGTGTTCTTATCTCATTTCTGAATACATCAAGGTATAATGACAAAACTAGGGTTGTTATTTACTGTTCCAAAGGCGCAGACATACTGTATTGTAAAATACATTAATCCGTGTACATTAATTACATGGACTGCAACTAAAAAATAGAATAGAAATGCAGATCATAATTCATATAAAAAATAATACCAAACCTACAAAAAGTGATTTGGCACACACATTAAAACTAGTCTACTTAATTAAATCGTATTACAAAGCACTACAAGTCACACTGCCCTGGGTGGACTGAACACAAAGCTGATACATCGTTAAAACATAAGCTAACGATAAAATCGATTGATAATACTCTGTATGGCGTAAAAGAGCCTGGAGGTACTCTGCACTAAACAGTAGATTTCTACTCGCCCTAGATCATTCGCTCTATGCAGTTTACTCCGTCACATCGACATTTGAACATAAGCGAAGAAATGCAATACTCAATATTAGTTTCAAACACCCATAACATTGGGAACTAATCACTCTCAGTGCAATGCTGTCACTCAAGTAGCGTGAGTTGTGCTAAGCGTGAGTCTGCTGTGTGTTTATACACGAGACTCAAACTATATAATAATATCTATTATTATTCACTCCTGATAAACGTATGCAGGATTTAGATACGTTACATAAAGTGATATAAAAAAAAAGAAAGATATAACAATAATGAATAATAACAGGACGGACGGTAAGGACGGATGACCTCGTTAATGAAGGGCGTTGGTTAGAGTTACGCATCTGTAGACAATTTGCGTTTGAGCATCCGCAACTGAATTGAAGGAAGTCAACTTCCATGCTAGCACGTTCAATTCTCTTAATGCTAACATTGTGTACAACACAGCCGATAATCATGGCAACTCAATCACAGTTGATGCAGATGAAACTTTGCAATTTTGACATCGTTTTGGCTCCTCAACTTCACAGACAGACCAGTTCCTTACAAATCGACTGGCTCTGTAATACGTTCACAGATAAGACATCAAAATGAGTTTTTAATGAGTTCAATTATAATTTATAGTAAATAATGGATTTTCTAGCCTCATTCTAGATAAGAATTTGACTTTGATGGCCACATGTAAACACTCAGAAATAACTGGCGAATGCACAGCAATAGATCCAAGTGAAAAGTTCTACGACCATAAACTTCCACGGAAAACCCCGTTTAACCCGAGATGCACTAATGCATATTCACACTGCCAGTGTTAAAACCAATATTGAGATGGAGCACTTTTTGCAAAAGGTGATCGCATATAAAATTCTCTGGAAAATCTTGAACAGAAAAAGTGAATAATTATCACCACGTGTGCCATTAACACAGACAAGTCAGGTGCAATTTATTTAGAAACACTGTTACTTTGACCTCCATAACTTTTACATGTTTCACTGCCAACACTTCGCTTGCAACATAATACATTGTAAGGCAATTAGGATTACACTCGTTCATGTGTGCTTACTTTGGTTCTCGTATTCACTACATTATAAATCACAAGTATGTCCACCTCTTCAAATGTTTTCAAAATTGAATGACTTCAGTATCACAGATGGCTTAATCTGCAGGTTTAATATATTCTGAAGAATTCTGAAGATTCTGAATAAATTCACTAGATATTTAACGTCAACAAGAAATGCCGATATTAGTTCATACATGCTTATTTAATGATGTCTGCCCATGACTTTAAACAGTCATTAATCTTACTTTCATGTTTGGTGAACTAGACCAGAATTTACACTAATAGTATCACATAAGTATACTTAGTACTCATTGGCTCACTGTAGAAGTAGTGGTAGTAGTAGTGGTGGTAGTAGTGATGAGAGAGATTCGTGTTTATATATCCCTACAAAACAAATACATGAATAAAATCTGCAAAGTATACCAAAGAAATGCCTCGGGCAAGCTATAAGTGATGGACCTTCAATCTAAGTAGTAAAGAATTTGCACGGATGTGTTGTAATATTCAAATGTTGTAAAAGCCGAATCAGTGTTATGCTGCATTTACGCTATCGATTTTTGTCAGCAAATCGTACCGATTTCAAGTGCATTGCAACACAATCGAATTTCAGTCGATTGTGTTGGAATGCACTTGAAATCGGTACAATTTGCTGACGCACTTTTTGATTGATGCTCGATTGATTTTTGATTGATTGCACGACTGAAATTCGATTGTGTTGCAGTCGGAGTCGGGCCGAGTTAGACACGTTCTATTTCTCCAACTCGACGACTTGACTCCGACTCTGACTCCAACACAATCGAATTTCAGCCGATTATGTTGGAATGCACTTGAAATCGGTACGATTTGCTGACAAAAATCGATAGTTTAAACGCAGAATTATGCAGGCTAGCGTGATTTCTGTAGAAAATATTTATGGTGGCGCCCCCTGTAATTCGATTTAGGGGTATTTCGTACTGATCCGACACCAGGTTCACGAATACTGATTCTATAATCGAGTGAATTTTTTTAAAGCTTTTGACGTGTGTGCAAGTAGGTTTTGTGGTCTAATGCAAGGCTTGTTGGTCAGAGTGATTGGCAGATTCATGATTAGAGTGTTTATACCTGCAGTGAGCTCGTTAGGCCTTTGTAAGACCACTTCCCCAGTCCAGGGCTTTAACAAACTCTTCCTCGCTGAATGACAGTAGTTTTGCCGCTTCAAGTAGCACCTGAAAAAAAGTTATAAGTTTCAGCTATGAGAAAAAAACGATTAAAAACATACTTCAATAATTTGCTAACCTACATAGCATACCATCGTGTTTAAGTATCACCTTTTTAAGAAGCATGCTACATGAATATGGTTTATTTTAGAATCAAGGATGACTATGATTGAAATTTTGATCATTTCATGAAGACAACCCGGTCTCTCTGAACAGGTTCAATACGGGATATGGCTGGATGTACTGATGTGCTAGATATCTAGCTGATTGACAGATATGCATGCGTGCCTTTGATTGACCAGTATGCATGCTCGTGCACATTTAATTAAATGGTATGCACATGTGAACACCTTCCATTGACATGTATGCACACTTGAGTATCTTTAAGAGACAGAGGTACTCACGCATGGTTCGCTTTTATAGGAATGTATGCATGCTTATGTACCTTTTGCTTCTTGAGTATGCTGATGTATTTCATCTGCTTTTTGAAGGCAGATATCAGCTCAGCCTTCTGTCTGTCCAGCCGCTTCACCTCTGCCATCAAACCATCAACCTTCTTCCTTTCCTGCTCACTCACATCCTGCGTATAAACACGAGATGAACAACATATAAAGCATGCGACCAAGAGAATATTAAAAACTAATCATAATAAGTATCTATTCCTGTCATGTACAATAAATGTATATGAAGTTGGTGTTTGTGATAGATTCTTATCCAATCAGCAGACGAGGGACAGCAAATTATCCATTATTGTAAAATTTCTCGTAGCAGCGATGCGTTTCTGTTTATGCAATTCTCACAACATTAATTAACATTAGTCGTACATGCTATCCTAGCATTAACATTAGCTTTAGCTTTACGATGTTTCTGACAACAGGCCCCTGGCATTTAGCTCCCCTTAGTATGGCATATTCAGGTGCCGTGAGTACATGTAAGTTTCAATGGACCACACCATATGACCAGAAACTATTTATCCATGTGCGCACGGAAAACGTACTGCCAACAACACTAATAAACTAAAAGTGAAAACAATAAGCAAAAAACTATAAGCAAAAACAACCACTGCAATCACTCATCATCGGTGGGCTTGGTTCTGGGCCAAAGTTAGAGCACCCGAGAGCACGTAAATTCCAGATCATGTCCCATTAAAAGGGCGACAACACTGACCAAACACATCTGTGTGAGATGAGTGTGTGGAACTGATCTGTGTCAGTGAGGTGGCACAAGCGTACCTTCGCGGAGATTCGGGATTTGTGTACTTCCTTCTTGTTCTTCTCCAGCTCCTCAAGAGCACGATTTAACCTGACCTCCAGCGCGCTTTGGGAGCTGCCCGCTTGTTTCTGAGACCGTTGGACCATGTCCAGCTCCTGCAAGCAAATTACACAGGGATCATGCACACACATGCACGGACGCATGGACGCACGCACGCACACACACACGCACACACACGCACACACATACAACACAGATGTACAAATGTGAGCATGCAAGGATACACGTGTGCTTATGAATGCGCAGATACTTGCACATAGGAATATGCATGCACACAGGCAAGCACACATGCATGCTATCAGACAGGCATGCACACATGCACCCATGAACAAACGCACTCATGCACTACCACAGACAAACACACTAGCATGCACAGAACACTCAAACATAGTTAGATACTTAACTATCTGCTATCATTACACATATACTATAATTTTGTTCTTTTTCCTCACTGATACCGACAAACGGAACAGCTAACTCAGCCATCAGATCAATCCTTTTAGTTTCTCCTCAAAATATTCATCCCGTGAAAGGCAGCACTAGTTTGTAGAGGAGAGTAAGCACCCACCCTCTTCACGGCAACCAGCTGGCCGTTGAGGGTCTCGGCTCGGCACCTGGCTTCCTCCGCGAGCTTCTTCTGCTTCTCAATCTGAAGCTGCTGAGAGGACTTCATCTTGAGCAGCTTAGCATTGTCCTCCTCCAGCGTCTTGAGTCTCGCCTCAATCTCGCTCCTTCGCTGATCCTGTGATAGTGAGATACTATAATGACACACACGCCATTGCTCGCCGGCGATCGTACACATTTACATACTGTGCTACATATGTGCTGTGTGAAAAATACTACTAGTACGTTGTTGTTATTACTGTTATTGTTGTTGTTGTTGTTGTCGTTGTCATTGTTGTTGTTGTCATTGTTGTTGTTAAGTTTCATAATTTATTTAGTAGAATGGCACTCACACACTAAATATGTAAAAGAGCAGCATGCCATCTTATATGACCTTGGGACCCGTATGATAGTACCAGATCATGCACGTTACACAAATATCACGATCAACCCCTATGACAAGTCAGTGTTTAATTGGGTACCTTGTTATCGCATTCTTTCACCAAATCATCCAATTCCTCGTGCATGACTCTAACTTTTGCTTTCAGAAACCTCACAGTAACTTCTACAGGAAGGAAAAATACATATTATTACTAGCTGGGCTACCCGGCGATGCCCGGGATAAAGGAGAAAAGAGTTAGAATTTAGTCTGCCATGACGGCTGTACTATGCTGTCAATTTCATGCTGTTAATTTCATGCTAGCATGTTCAATGCTGATACAGATAATATTATTATTAATATGACTAATACTATTAGCGAATGTGAATGAACACATTAGCCTAACATGCTAAATTTATGAGACACCTAGTATAAAACACATCGAGCCGAACTAAGCAAGTTACTTTCTAGACAGATGAATACCTGCGCATCATCCATAAGCAGGTGAAATAGCTTACGTGGCAAGAGATATATCACCAGACTTAGCTAGTTTTCCACTGACAACGTTTAATGAAAACATGACATTGCACCTTTCAGATATACTCTAATGATTACGATAGTCAATTAAGCCACCGGTGCTACCACCTTGTGACAATCCTCACTAGTTATAATGATTCATTGTTAGTTGCAGTGAATAATAGAAAATACATTTGTTGGAGTCCCAGGGTGGTGCTGTATAGCTGCTCATGGCTTGCAGGCAATGCCTAAGGTGCACTTGTTACAGCGGATCATATGATCAAGATCACACGGATCCGGAGACCCTGCTTGGTTTCTGGGCGAGTTATGCTGATGCGAATCTCGTATTAGTGATACTGCCGGGGAGATGGATTAGAAGCGGATCCAATATGGTGGCACAGCAGACTCCAATGACTGGTTAAAGCTAGTTATGAACGATCCTATGATAGGCTACATCAACAGTTGCCCCATTGGAGGAACACTTGCATTTGTTTTGGGCAGATCATGACCAAATCATATGGATTCAACACGACCCTCCCAAACAAACAGCTAGGCCTGTAGTGAGACAATGCAGTTGTTTGCTCACCCGGGCCCATGCCGGCAGCAGCCTCCGGCAGAACGTCGTCATCTTCCTCCGCTGCCCGACAGATGGCAGCATCGTCCTTCAGCTTTGATTCGATGGCCGCAATGGCCTCGCTGAAGTCGGCGTCTGCACCGTCAGGGACGGCGACATCCGTCTCCGCGCCCACTTGGCGTCTGGCCGTCTCCTGCCTGAGGAGCATGTACACAAGTACTAACATACAAGAAACATGGTAAATCGCTCAGCTGTAGGTTTATTATATCGTAACGAAACCTCATAAATTGTAGCACATGACGCATGGTTTATGTACTCTCCGATAGCAGTTAGTAGATATTTTATTCGCAATAATAAATCATCTATATAACTGCAGGTAGATTACTAATGATTTGCCTTCCCCTTCTGAGACAAGCTCAATTAGGGGCATTGAGAAATAAATCTCATGAAATGCCTGTGACGACGCAAAGCCACAGTGCAGGGAATAATGATGGACATAAACATGGATAATGGATGAACGAGACACGTGGAGATGTCGCAGTTACCGTCCAGTAGTAGGAATAGTGCTGCCAAATTACCTTCCATGTTTGCTGTAATACGGTTCTGTTGTTACATGAAATGACACTATAACGAAATCAAATAATACCAGTACAATCACTAGATAATTTCCATGCTCTAAGATTACCTGACAGCGTTGTTTTCCTTATTGAGATTATAAGATTTGGGTCTAGCACCAACTGCAGCCTTCCGTACTCCCACAGATTTCCTTCTGTGTGGGATATCTTCATCCTCCTCATCTCTAAAATCACAAAACAGCTGTTCTCACTTTAAACTACATGCTAGCACTACGAAATTGGTTTCATAACTTCTATATGGTGAAGCAGTAGCCTACACTGTGCTCTAGTAGAACTGCTGTATCCAAGGATTGTCCCAATGGGAAACTACAGATAGTCAATAAAGAAGTGTCCTTAACAAGACACAAGTGGTTTTTAGGGTCTGGATAGCAATCAGAAGGTCTTGTAAATCATCATAGATAAGATACGTAGAACTGTATCCTGGACGGCAGCAAAGGAAAAATATTTCAGACGATAATCGTATGCTATATGTTGGCTGCATATGTGCCGTTGCTGAATGATTTACGTTTAGTTTGAATGAATGTGTGTGTATGCACCAACAGCACACATAGTTTACGAAGCTGAACTGGCAGTCAAGTAGCCCAAAGACCAAAGATATATTGAAGATACGTGTATATATGTTAGTCTCATGTTTACACCTTAACTATAAAATTTAATAGTAAATATACATCATATTCAAAGTACAGCATCCTGGCATTGCTTTACTATACTGTTATAAATGTATTGAAACCCTCAATATATCACAACAAAAGTTTCGATATATAAGACAATGCTTTTTAAATGGACAAATCTTTGTGATATAAAAGCAGTAATTTTAGCAGCAATAGATTGTTGGTAATATGACCATGAAAGCACGAGCATACCTGAAGAAGTCATCTGCATCTAGTTGATCTATCAGCGAAACTGGTTTCACGAGGATATCATCATGGACTTTCTGAAAGAGCATCGTAAAACCTGTATACTTTATCTAATGATGGGCTTAACCACAATCGATCACGTAACGTTCATCAAACACAGAATACTCCTATTTGAAAACACACGAGTGCTCCAAACACACATTTATTGGCTTAGATAGAAGTGTTCCACCTTCAACAATTTAGTTTTTACCACGATTACTCAAGTCTCACCAGCACTTTGTCGGCTTCACGAACAAGATCTGCTGTTTGTGCCTCTAGTTGAGCATTTGCAGAGCTGGAAAAAATAGATGCTATTTATTAACAGAGTGTAAGCCCAGCTCGACCGCTTCACTGTTAAAATAACTTCATCGATAGGGATGAAATAACGTTACAACAGGTAATAAATCCCATAGGATAATATTAGAAGCATCAGTCTAGTACTAATCAGTGGTATTAAAATGCAAGTGATCCTTCCTGATCAATTCAAGGTTCCCTGAACTACTATTGTTATCTCTCAAATACTATGCTCATGTTTTGTGTGTATATATAGAACGTTGGCAAATATGCATGCTGAATCACTTTCAAGAACAGTGAAACCCTGTAATACTGCCATAATTAGGGGTTCAAGAAACTACCAAGTAAAATGTGGGGGTTGGTTTGTAGTAGGGTAATTAAAATTTGAAATTTCCTTAGTCAGGAATAGTGAATAAATCAATGATTTTTATGTTGTTCCCGCTTAGTCATCCGAAATACACATAAAAATACCAAAAACACATCAAGTAACTGAAAGAGAGAAATAAGGAGAAAAAAGTAAAGTGATGATCTCGTTATATATGTCTGAATTCATGTTACCGCAGGGCGCATTATAGCAGGGTTCTGCTTTACTTTACTTTGCTTTACTCTACTACTGCCCGTAGGGTCTATGTCTCCCTGACCTCTGTTTGACCTGGCTCGTTTAGCTATTTCTGACTAACCCTAACCCTAACCCTATATATTATATATTATTAGAGCAGGTTTATTTAATTGCTCGTTAGATGGCGCACAGGTCAATACAAATGGCCTCACTCTCTTTGTGAATTTGTCAGCATTGTCCCGCGTCCAATGCGTCAGAGACAAATGGTTATTCCTATCTATGCTGACAAATTCGTGATCTACAGCTAACATCGAACCGTCCACGCCCGAGTGTTCCCCATCATGCCTGCCGTGAACTGTCCAGTTGCTGGCTGCGAGTACAAGACTGCGGACGTTGATCCTGCAATCGTGGTACAGTTACTCCAGATACATTCGACAGCGGAACACACCCAACCGCAAGTCGCCCCCGCTAAGGTCGAAAAGGTGAAGAGACCTACATTGTCCTCTGGCGGGTCGAGCGAAGAATGGACTTACTTCACGACCAGATGGACAGACTATGTCTCCGCAACTAAGGTTACTGGCCAGGAAAAAGTAGTCCAGCTGCTGGAGTGTTGTGACGAGGGTCTTCGCAGGGACCTGACGAGATCAGCTGGTGCCAGTCTGACGAATAAGTCAGAGGAGCATGTACTGGCAGCAATGAAAAAACTTGCAGTAAGAGAGGAGAACACGATGGTTGCTCGTTTCACACTGCACAACATGACGAGCCAGTACGTGCATTCGGCGCTCATATCACTGGACAAGCGAGTGTCTGCAAATTTGCACTGACATGCCAGAACTGCCAGAATGAAGTGAATTACACCAATGAGGTTCTCCGCGATGTATTAGCTATATACTAGGGGTCTGGCTGACAGCGAGATTCAACTCGATCTGCTCGGAGATCCGAACCAGGACATGACTCTCGAGGAGGTCTTCAAGTTCGTGGAGGCCAAAGAGGCAGGCAAGCGATCGGCCAACAGACTTTTGCAGTCACAGGGTGCAGCTGCTGCACGCAGCCTGTATCAGAGAAGCAAAAGATCTTCAGCCATGGTTAGAGAGGGGGCCAAACGACATGACAGTGATACAGTCAGTCAGGAAGTATGCTCGTACTGTGGTAGGAGAGGTCACGGTAAGAGAGACCCACCTCATGTGAGAAAAAATACCTGTCCTGCTCGCTAAATTAACGAAATTAGTATTCCTATTACGAAATTATTTCGAAATACGAATAGTTCTGCGTAATTACGAAACACTCATCTGTATTACGAATAGTTACCTTGAATAAGGGCAACTTCAATGAATCACAGTCATCTTGCATGTGCGCTCTCCTTGAGTTAAACGTCGTTTGGTTAGATGCACGAACAGTTGAGTCCAACTTCTATGCCGTAGGCTAGCTTCCAGCCTAGGGCTTAGCGTTACGATGAAACCTTGCTATGTTACGCCAACCAAGGTATGATATTATCTCAGCAAACCGTACATTGCCCCGTAGGCTACGTTCGCTTGGACTATATCGCAGGGAATCTCAAATCTGATTGTTAGAACTGTTCGCTGTTTCCATTGAAGGCTTGTTAGGGAAGTGGGGAACTTGCATAGATATAGGGTGGAGTGCACCTTAGATGTGTACAGCGAGGTACGTTCTGTTTGCCTTGGAAGAAAGTAGGATACTATTGAAAATTCCTTGATCCAGTCGGCGTTCAGCTGCGTTCCATAGGCAGGAATCGTCGCAGACAATATTCACACCGGGGTCCCAATTTTGTGTGGCATTTGATTCGTATGAGAATATTAAAAGCCCATTTGGACTCTGCATAAAGGGGTGTATAGACGGTTCTAGGGACAATATACGCCCCCGACAATTACCCCCGGCCGACAATTACCCGCCCGGACATTTACTAGCTATGCATTCACCTCACCGGACAATTACCCCGCCAGACAATTACCACCCCGGACAATTACCCCTGAAATTTACCCCCCGGACAATCACGCACCCGGACATTTACTCACTGTTGTTTATTATTCATGTGTTGAAGCAGTGAAATACAGGGAGGAGTCGAGAGAGGGCAAGAAGTGGTAGGAGGAGGGGGGAAGAAGGTGGAGAGGAGGAGGAGGAGAGGAGGAGGAGAGAGGTGGAGGAGAGGAGGGGGAAAGGAGGCAGAGGAGAAAGGGGAAACGGTGGAAAGGTGGTCGGAGGAGGAGGGGGTAGAAGGTGGTGGAGGAAGGAGGATGGGGGAGAAAAGGTGGACGGAGGAGAGAGAAGAGGAGGTTGGAGAAGGAGGAGGAGAGGAGGGGAGGATGAGAAAGAAAGAACGTGGGGAGAAGGTGGTGAGGAGAGGGGGGAGAAGGTCGGAGGAGAAGGGAAGGTGGTGGAAGGAGGCAGGGAAGAAGGTGGGGAGAAGGTGTTGGAGGAGGAGGAGAGGGAGAAGGTGGGAGGAGGAGGCAGGAGGGGGAAGGAGAGAACGTGGAGGAGAGGAAGGAGGGAGAGGAGGTGGAGGACGAGGGGGAGAACGGTGGGGGAGGTGGTGGACGGATGAGGAGGGATACAGGTGGAGGAGGGAGAGGATGGAGAAGGCAAGGTGAAGAGGACGAGGCAAGGGAGGAGGAGCAAGGAGTGGGCGGAGAAGTGGGGGGAGAACACTGTGGTGGAACGAGAGGAGGAGGGAGAGAAGGTGGAGGAGGAGAGGAAGGCAGCAGAGGAGGTGGAGGCAGGGAGGAGGTAGAGGAGGTGCCTCTACCTCCATCCTCTCTCTCCTCCTCCCATCACATTCTCACTCGCCCTCCCCCTCTTTATCACGTCCTTCAACGCACACCTGCACCTTCTCTACCTCCTCTACCCTCGCTCATCACCTTCCATCCTCTCCTCACTACCTTCTCCGCGTCATCTATCTCGCTCCTCCTCAATGTCCGGGGGGTAATTGTCCGGGGGGAGTAAATGTCCGGGGGGTAATGTGTCGGCAGGGGTGATTCGTCCGGGGGTATTTGTCCTGATCACCGGTATTGGCCGTCTCACGAGATATCATGTGGTTGGGAAGTTGTACACAACAAGCATATCACATAACAAGTGATCCGCGTACCATTGCTGGGCTACTATGTGAAGCTGGTTGGGTACGCAGCACCGGCTTGTCCGATGAAGGGTACCCCGCCCCCAGGTGCTGTCCCCTACGGGTTGTTTGTGTGTGTGTTTTTACGTATTTCCGTAAAATTACGAGCAAGACTTATTTCGTTATTACGAGAAACTATTTCTAATTACAGAAAACTAATTTCGTATTACGAGAAACATCATTTTCGTAATTAAGGCCACCCACACCCGCGGATTTTTAACAAACCGATGAAGCGATGAAGGCGATGAGCGATGAAAACGATGTAGGTGTGCGCGTTTCATTTGTAGACCCGATTTTCTTTTTATCGGGTTGATCGTTCCACGAAATGCGACAACATCGTTTGATTTTGAACCGATTATTTGGACGCGATTTGTGGGTGTGCGCGTGACCTCAGGAAACATCGTGTGCGATAAATATTGAAGAAAATTATCTGTAGGTGTGCGCCGCACACCTACATGCGCTTCATCGCTTTCAATCGGCTTCATCGCTCATCGTTTGTAAAAATCGGCTGGTGTGCGGGCGGCC